ACTCAACTGCAAGGTACCTTTTTTGCCGGTTAGGCGTAGTATAGGTCATTGAGCATTAGATACCAAAGCGTGGACGAAGTAATGTCCCGATTGTGTGACATGATATGATTGTTGGAGTTTCAGCATTCCTCCACCTTCTTCGTCCACGCTTTGGGAAATCGAAATGCCGGCTTCCGGAAGTGGAGGAAGTGACGCATCGCATGAGAGTCATTTTGCCGCTGCTGCGGCCATCGCAGTGTTAGGACGAGGGTGGGCTTTCAGTCTCACTTGTTGATTACAGTGTCTTGCCAGCTGTCATGTTGTAATGATAATTTGATTGTTGATGTTTGAAGAGCCCTTCGCACGCCTAGTTACAATTTAATCGCGTGATTCACCCTGGCAATGTGAGCTCGTTTTTTACCTCTAGCTCAAGGCTCCGCTAGATATTAGATCGATCTTCGCACTCAAATCATTATTCGACGTACTCACCCATAAGTTCTGTCTTTTGTTCCATGTGGAGTTCTGTTAGTTGCTCTGAGTTTTTCGTTGTTAAAACTACTCTGAAATTGAACGAAAAAGAGGATTTAATTTTGCAGAGGTTTTCAAGCGTCATCTTCGGGAACGATGGACGTTGTTCCCGGTATACCAAGCATTTCTGCAGTTGGCGTGTCAACGGTCGGCGGTGAGAATAGCAATGGTCATACAATCCACCGTTCTCATGGTATAACGAATATCGTGATGCCAATGAATATCAGCGTCGTCAATGATGAACTAGATGGCAGTCGAGTTCGTTTCACAACTTTCTCAGTTCGTGTTTCGTTTTTTTTCCTTCACTAATTCATTATATCCAGGCCAATGCCAACCAAGGCGGAGGAAGCTCTATTACCAACGGAACTCCTCCCCGGCAACAGGAAGAAGCGCCAACTAACAACTCATCACACATTGGTGCGGAAGGAAATTCCATTTCACAGACCTTTCGATCAGTTTAATGGATGGTGCTTCTTCATTCTCACTCGTTTATAGGTGAAAGTCCAGTCGAGGAACACAAGGAGCAGAGCCAGGATAGTAAACCAGTTGAAGCGGAAGGGGATTCGGTCATCCGCCTGAAATTTCTCGATGATACGCAGAGAGATGCCCGCACTACCATGACGGATACTATCGGAAAATTTAAGAGGTTCGTGTACCGTTTCACCGCTAGTAACCTTTAGTCATTGTTAGTGCAAAATAATGAAGGTTTAGTGTTCATTTTGGGGATGCTGTCGCTGCCGGCCGAGTCGTTAGGCTAATCTATCAAGGTCTGTTTTTATCCTTCTTTCATAATGTCATTAATGTTATTGTGACTTTATTGTTAACCGTTGTTCTTCTCAAACATTTTTTTCATTTCATTTCTTTTTTTCTGCGCTGTTCGAAATAATAACTCTGCAAAAAAGTGATCCATGCTCAGGTCAGCTTCTTCGAGAAGATTCGAGAACATTAGCCTCGTACGGTCTCCGTGACGGTTCTGTAGTTCATTGCCATATCAGTAATACACCATACGCTAGACAGGTAATGCAAATCTAGCAAGTTTGTCAAAAGTTGTGTCATTGTCGTTGCTCTTGTTCAAGGCCCCGTCTACTTCGCAACCAGTGACTTTTTCATCAAATGTGAGGCATCGCGATGTTACTCCTAATGACACACCTTCCACGTCCAATGTGAGGCCTGAAACACAAGGTGAGCTTTGTTTGGTTATGGCTTCGTCATTTTTTGAAATCCTGCGCAAAGGGTTTTACGAGCTGTTTCAGAGTTTCGATATCCTCGTTGGGCCGTTGCGCTGCTGTTGTACACCTACCGTTTCCCGCTAATTGGTTTGCCTTTGGATGCCGTTATACGATTTCTGTTTGATAGGCAGATGGCTCCTTCGGCGGAACCCGGCGTTGTTCGTCGTACATATCAAAGGTATTCTTTCCTAAAATGGCAGTTGTTTTTGAATCTTTTTGCTCCGAACAAGTACAGTAACATGGCGATGTTTTTCTTAAATTAGAGTTTCAATGGGCAGAAATTGTGTTGGTTTTGGGTGGTCCCTTGCGCTTATCATGACCAGGTAGTTTTGCGCATGCTTCTCCCGAATCAGCTTCGCATCTTAGACGATTCCTTCATATGAGTGTTTCCGTTCATAAATTACAATTACTAAATTAATCAAACTGCTTCATCCTTTACCTTCTTCCCCGAGCTGTAAAGGCGAACCTCCTGCGGGTTGTGCTCACCAAACGTTCCATCTTGAAAGCACCCACTTGTCCGTCGCCGGTTTGCATTTAATAGAACTAGGGGTGCTGTTGAGGGATAATTACAAATGCTGTAAAAAAAAAACGAAAAGTTTCAGCACTTGCAGGGGTCTGCTGTCAAGTTAAGACATCTGCCAAATTTCAGAAATGATTCCCTGCATTGATTTTTTTAAGATTAGCCTCTTTTTCGCTATTATTGTTAGTGTAATGCGAATATTTTGATTCATTCATGTATCTGACACACTGCGTTCGGTTTACCAGAGTACGTAACAAGGCAAAACACTGGTAACTGGTTCAGTAAATGATCGTTCTTCTTTCACCTGTATCACCTGTATCACCTGTCGTCCCGTTGATCATCGAATTGCTCGAGCGGGCGCCAGCAACGTCTCCATTCGTCCCTGTCGCGTGCAAGAGTTGTCCAGTGGACCCTCCTCGCTCGAGGGACACGATGTCCTTCATTCCTTTCGTTCAGAGCTTTCGTGAAGAAGTCTGACCATCGGGCCGGCGGTCGTCCAGGTGTTCGTTTGACGTCCCGAGGGATCCAGTCGGTAACCGCTCTGGTCCAACGGTCATCGCAAAATCGCATGACGTGTCCGGCCCACCTTATCTTCGATTCCTTGGCGAAAACGGCAGCGTCCCTGATCTTCGATCGTTGGCGTAGTTCGGCACTCCGGATTCCCCTCTGCACTTGCGTGTATAGGGTTACTCCTAGCATCGTCCTCTCGACAGCGCGTTGGATAACGCTGACCGCATGCTCGTCCTGCCTGCGCAGAGTCCAAGTCTCTGAGGCGTAGGTTAGGGCAGGAAGGACAGCGGAATCGAAGAGGTGGGCACGGAGCCGGATGTTCTTCGTCTTCTTCACTACTCCCTCGATGTTCTGTACGCTCTCCCAAGCCGCTCGTTTCCTCCTGCTCAGCTCTGGAGCTAGATCGTTCATCATATTGATTTCCCGACCTAGGTACACGTAGCTGGAGCATTCGGTGATGTTCGTTCCGTTGAGCGTGAATGGGGCATCAGGAACCAATCCGTTTCTCATAAACATCGTCTTCGTTAGGTTCAGCTGTAGACCCAACCTTACCACAGGCGCAGTCGAAATCAGCCAGCATTCGCTCCGCTTGCTCGATGTTCGGCGTTATAAGAACGATGTCGTCAGCAAAACGAAGGTGGTGTAGTTGCCGGCCGTCGACCTTCACTCCCATGTCTTCCCATTCCAGTTGACGCATGACGTTCTCGAGAGCGGCGCTGAAGAGTTTGGGCGAGATGGTGTCGCCCTGTCGAACCCCTCTCTTGACGTCGATGATGACCTCCTTGTAGAATGGTGAGATTCTGGTCGTAAAGTTGCTGTAGAGCTCACGAAGAATCTTGATGTACTGAGTAGGGACGCCCTGGTTGCCCAAGGCTTCGATGACCGCTTCTGTCTCCACAGAGTCGAAGGCCTTCTTCAAGTCGATGAACGTGAGACAATGCATACGTCAGCGCGATCGTTGTAGCTCTCCCGTGAAACTTCAATGAGTCTTGTAACCGTGTGGATATGGTCGATCGTGCTGAACCCTCTTCGGAACCCTGCTTGCTCGCATGGCTGTCCTTCATCTAGTATTCTGCCGATCCTGTTAAGGATGACTCGAGTGAATAGCTTGTAGATTACAGACAGCAGGCAGATTGGGCGATAGTTGCCAATGTCGTCCAAGTCTCCCTTCTTGTACAGCAACACGGTCCTGCTGGTTTTCCACGGAGTGGGTACCTTGCATTCCGACAGGTAGCGCGTGAAGAGTCGAGCCAGAGTTTTGATGATAACTGGCGGCGCATTCTTCAGATGTTCCGGTTTGACCCTGTCGAGACCGGGTGCTGTACGATTCTTCACCGACTTGATGGCGTGTCGGACTTCGGAAGAGAGACTGAGGGGACGACGTATCCATCCTGTTGCAGTTGATAAGTGGGCAGATGGACATGGCTATCGAAGAGATCCGAGTAGAAGTCGTGGATGACTTTCTCCATTGCCCTTCGGGATGCAGTGAACTGTTCCATCCGGACGTCGGAGGCAGGTCATCTTGGTCTTGTAGCTGGCAAAGCTTCGGCGGGCATTGCGGATGCTCCTCCCAGCCTCTGCTGCTTCAGCTAATACTGCTGCTCTTCGCTCCTTGAGATCTTCCTTTATCGCCTCTCTGCATAGCTTCGCAAGCTCGGACGTGAGTCGGTGATTGCCTGCAGCTCGTGCGGCTCCACGCTGGCGTATCAGTTCGAGAGTTTCCGGAGACAGACGTCCCTTGGTGACTTTCAAACTCTCTGCCTTCTTGCCACAATCGTGAAGATGTTCAACGAGCCGATAGTACTCCTCGTCGATGTTTTCGATGACGGAATCCTCCCATAAGCTGACGAGGGAAGCGAAGTGGTCCCAGTTGATGACTGTCCTGGGGCTTCGCTTCCTGAACTTCGAGGCTCTCTCAACACGCATCGAAAAGTGGAACTTTGCGCGGAGGAGACGATGGTCCGATCCCGTGTAGAACTTCGGAACAACAGCGACGTCGGTCAGGCAAAACCTTCGATTGAAGATGATGTGGTCTATCTCGTTATGGAACTGTCCATCAGGTGACTCCCAAGTCCAACGAAGGTGAGGGGCTTTTGGAACTGTGAGTTACCATGGATGGTGTTGGTCGACATGATAAACTCCGACAGTCTCTCACCCTGCTCATTCCATTCCATTCCGTGAGTACCGATGTGAAGTTCTTCAGCCGTTCTTCTTGGGCCAATCTTAGCGTTGAAGTCGCCGACGATGACCTTGAAGAAGGTATGATCTTCCCTGTAGAACTTCTCCAATTCCATATAGAATGCTTCGTGTTCTTCTTCGTCGTAGCTGGATGTTGGTGCGTAGGCGACGAAGATTGTCAAAGCAGGAGTTGAACCACATCTTCTCAATCTCAAACGTCCGATTCGGGTCGTAAGGCTTTCGTACGAATCGATGTTTATGGCCAAGTGCGTGTTGACGAGGACACCCACACCGCCAACGCCTCTGCTGTCGCATGTTCCAAGGAACAGTTCTTCTCCAGTATCGAAAACGGCGTGTAGCGGGCGGTGCCTTCTCGTCTCGGTCAGTCCGATGACGTCGTACTTGATCTTCCTGGCCTGCATCATCAGATCTTCGATGTGAGCTTCGGATGCAAGCGTTCGTGCGTTGAAAGTACAGATCGCCATCTTAGTCCTTCTTCGTTTAGGCAGCCTATCCGGGCCCTGAGATTCTAGCAGCCTCTCCCGAGCGGTCCTACCCAACGCTGCCGTATTGGGGGCTCCCTCAGGTTTCAGGGGAATGAGGCCCATCCATATTGCTGTTTTCGGCATATTGAAGGCACACGAGTAGCTTGCCAGGCTCTGTCGTGCGGGCTAGGATAGACCTCCAGGTAGTTAGCCACGCTATCCTGGAGCGGAACAAGGGGCTTATTTCTTGGAGGCGGCCCCGAATCGCCTCCCATGTACTTCCCAGTCACTTGAATGCAAGCTTTTGGCTGTGCCGACATGCAGGATACCAACCGCACACACACAGAGCGCACCACACACGCAAGCATGCATGGATGCGCCTGAGTGGAGACAGCTGGTATGAATCGAACACAGCACTGCAGAAACAGGGAGTCCCCATCCGTCCATCTTTGAACCTCTAACTCCCACGCCTGCCTGACCGATGGTCGAGCTCTCACAGGATGCTCTAGAGTGTCACGACGACGCGTGAGTGGCCTTTTCGGTTCCCTCACGACAAAAGATTCTCGACCCGTTAGGCAAGTACATGGTGGCTTTTGGTCCGCGATTTACCCTATCCGCCACCTGGGGTCGCGCCACGTAGCCTCGCCACCAACCGGCTCGAGATCTTTCAGTGAGAGAGGACCCTCAGTGAAAGAGATCCGTGGCTCATTCTATTTATTCTCATTCTCTTAGTCCCTTCATAAATACTATGCTCTCTATTCACTGCCGTGGCCTTATTTCGAAATATTTCCTCACTGTACCCTCATCTTTGTCAGGATATACAATACAATATTTGGTGCACCTCGTGACGATGGCGTTTCACCTCTTGATCGAGCAGCAGATGCAGCAGCAAGAGTACAACCGCAGCCGCTATGTCTTGGAGATTATCTCTTGTGGATATTTGCGGGTGAGTGGAATATTTCGGTAATGTCATACTTTGAAATCGTGCTTGTAGCTTGGCGCAAAATTATTGAAATACTGACGAGAACTGAAGCATATTTTCAAAATGTGCACGAAGTTTAATAGACTGTTGCGTTTTTGGTTCTAATTAATTGGTGCTGGTTTTTAGGGCAGTTCGTTGCTGTTTGGGGCTTTGTCTACGCCTTCCCACAAATGTGCGATAGTACCGCTTTGGGTCTTCTTATCTTGTTAACATTGTATTTTCTTTTTGTTGTCTGCCGTAGCAGAAATCGCCTTCCTGAACCTCGATCCAGAGACAACCAAGTTGTTGAGCCTACTAGTTCTGATCGGTGAAACCACGTTTCACTTTTTGTCACTACATTCGAATTTTTTTTAATATTCGTGACTTGATTTTTCTATTCTATTGAAGATAGTCGTCCGTGATATGCTTGCGGGTGATGAAGTCCGGTTGGCTACAGTTTTGGTCCCTATTTTTCGTGTTTACTCTGTGTATTTTCTTACATAGTTTATTTAGCCAGATTTCACTAGCTGCTCAGAACTTGCTGTTCTGGTTGATTCGTTCCGTTGAAGTTGATCGCAGTTTACCAGTACAACTGAGTTGGCTGCGCTTTATTTTTCTTGCTAGATTACTGATTATACTGATTTTCTTCGATTCATATGACGTTGAATGGTTTCCTCCTTTACAAGTTGTTCGGTTTCATGTGTTCCTCATGTACGAGGTCTGATTTTGGCGAAGTTTATGCTGAATTTATCGTTTCGAATAGATATTCTAGATGCTCCATGAAGTTTTTCAGAAAAAGTGAACCAAGTGTCACATGTGAAATACCATTAACAAAGAATCCAAGCTTGTAATACTAATTAGAGGCAAGCTCCGGGATAGAATGAGGGAGTATCCGTTCAAAAATGCGGTGCTGGGTGCTAAGTGAATTGAAGGTAAAGACAAAAGCAGGAAATACTACCCCCAAAGAGGTCAAAAATCAAAACTTCCTCCTCGTTAGTTCCTTACAAGCCAGGGCATATCCGACGAGGAAAAGTTAAATTTTGAACGGAAATTCCGAACTTTGCCAAGGAGCATTGAGTGCATGAAAAGTTCAGTAGGTGCTA